ACTTTTTAATATGTATTGTATTGTATTGCAAGCGATTCATTCAATTATTATCCTAATTTCTTTTTAAGTAAAAAAGACGATATAATTAACTCAAATATTTAATATTAAAATGAAAATTATAGAACGTATTTAAATAATTATTAGACTAAAGCCTCTTCTCGTAATAATAATATTTGATTCGACGTTTCCTTTGCAGTGCTCTCGTTCAAGAGAATGTCATTCAAAATTCTATTTAAGGTGACGAAATATCTCTGGTCTCTAGCGACTTATGAAGATTGTTGGTGAGCAAGAACAGACAGGTCGGTATAATTTATCGCTTCAATAGATTTTAATCAGTTTCTTCCCCAGCCACTTATAACAATTCACTCTGACGGAGCATTTCGAGGAATTGAATAATCATAGTCAAGAGTCACCGCCAGATGATACCTTTATAACTTTGGAACAAATTTTCTCAATGCATTCCAAGTGTCGCGAAAATGAGAAGATTGCGCGAATTGCTACTTGTAATCTCCACGAGTTGCATTTTTAATATCGTAGATACGGAATAACAAGCCTGACTGTACAGAATACACGAGAAAAGATAATCTGTATATTTAACTTTAAATATCTTTACAATTAAAATCCCAACTAAAATTATATCGAATTGAATTAACAAATAAGACTTTACAGCGTCTTTGTCTCTGCCTCGCTTTAATCTAGAATTTTAAATTACCATATAATAAGTTGCATTAAAAAAGAATGATATGAAGAAAACGAAAATATTCAATATATTTCGTGTTTATAGTTACGTTCTCTATTAATCAAGATTAATTTATATTAATCTTGTAGTAATATTATGTAGCATATTATGTTTAAATAAGGTAGTTAAACTATAATTACACACGGCGCACCGGATTTGCACGGTAAAATTCGTTAATACCAACCCACCTGCCATATCAGAGGCTAAATTACTGTACCTACGTGTTCGGCGTGATAATGTAAAGCAAAGTACGAATAAAAGCACGAAATAGTCTAGCCCGTGTACGATGTACCGCGATGATGCCAAATGATATCCGTAACGTAAATATTCGGCGGATGTAATGTCTCCGCTCCGATATGTTATAAATACAAAATGAAATAAAATTCGGCGAATACGTGAGAAATCGCGAATAGCGCTGTTAAAGCACGCGGTAAAATATTTTTGTTTACAGACTAGTATAAATATAAATCCTCATGTAAATATGCGATGTATGAAAATCTATAAAACGAGGGAGCACGTTCGCGCGATGTAACATAACGCAATCGAAAGATAAATACAATTTTTCATAAAGCTATGTATGAAGGAAATTAAATCAATAAATGACATGCGTATATAAACTTGTCATAAATAAATACGTAAATAAGATGTAATATAAAAAAATAAATAAAACAATCGACGCGTATACTATTGTACTTTGTATAAGCAACTGGACATATGTCAATTTTCTCTTTGTTCGTTTAACATACATTTAAATTTCAAAAAGTCATTTATCAATGGAATTTATTAAAAAAATTAATTCATGGAAGTATAAAATAAAATGAAATCAATCATTTTTACAAATTATTCTTACAATATTTGTACATATTTGCAATTGCTTCTATCAAATAATTAAAATATAATTTTATCGTTAATTTAATCTTTTAAAATTATTTAATATATAAAATCAAAATATTTGAGAATTGTTATTATTTCCTCTCGGCGGTGCAATTTTTAGCGCAGAGTCATCACACGCTATCATATATGCATCTCTTGAAATTCGTTTTAAATTAAATTTGCTTCACATACAAATACCTAGCCGTATAGTCTCTTCATTAATTTTGCGGCAAGATTAAAAATTCCTAGTGCCCATCGAACGTGGGCATATTTCACGATACTCGAGGAAATGGTTGGTGCTAGGCAGTCGGAAGTGTTTGGCAGAATATTTCACGATAGAACAGCGATGGTACGTGATGGATTTTCGAGCGCGGCCTGGGAGATTTCGCCACTCGATCATTCTCCGATCCAATAAACATTGGCGAACTACCTTCCGCGCGTACGGAAATGAGAATGGGCTTCTCTTACCTGAATGGAATCTTTCCCAGCCTCCTGCAGAATATTCCGCGGCTGCGTATAGCCTGGGCCGTTGCTGTAGAGCAACGTCGTATAGGGCTGTCCGTCAACGTCCGACACCTTGCTGTCGGAGCCTAAGAGAAGAAAAAAAGGAATCGATCAAGCGATTTGTCGGTAGAATTATCGATGAACATATCTTACGAATAAATAGCTCGCGGCAAACGATATTCCGTAATCCTATTCCCTATTGATCAATATGGTCCATTGAGATTCTGTATGATCGTAAGATACTCGATTTAATTTCATACTCGAGGCAATTCAAATGCATGTAAAGTAAGGTAAATAGCCCTACATATGTCAAATATCAATAAATGCATAAGATGCTCTCTTGGAGACCAAGGCGACACGCCCTCGGGCACTTTCTCAACCGTGACGGTAAATTTTATTTCCTCAAGTATCTCGGATGCAACCTTATTAACAACGAATGGCTATTACGCGGCGTCGCCCGAGTCTGACCTCGCCAAGAAACGGACGGATGTTTAACGGTAGAACGGTGGATGAAAAAAGAAGAGGCGGAGAAGAAGATGTAGAGGACTATGAGGCAAAGGGATGAGTACAGAGACTCCGGGACATGCCTGCCGGTAGATATGTTTTATTCAAGGGGCTTTCTTCTTCCTGCGCGCCCAGCCAGCCACCTTCAAAAATAGACCAGCACCACGCGCCGTTTCAGCCTGTCCTTCGTTTAACAATGTATAATTTAACCGTTTATTTGCCCGCGCGAACGCGCGGCGTTCACTCTAATCGAGGCGGTCGGTGCCGCTTCTCTTTAAACTTCCCCTTGCATTTTACGCCCGATAGACCGAAACATTTTCTTGTTTCTTCGAGTAATTGCACGCTTGTTGCACGATGCACGTCATGACTCTTGACTGATGTGCATACACCTACTCTTTCGCGTGCCACGGCACTTCACATCTAGGGGGATCTAACGAGGAGCCAACTAGGGGGTAACGAGGAGCCCGAGCAAAGGAAATCATTCGTAGTGATCCGTCAATCTGTTTGTTAATTTTATGCAGTATTCTCGATGGAACAAG